GAAATTTCTCATAGATTTTCGCAGTGCGAAATGGACGGGCGTTGGACATTGCAAAAATCTATGAAGTATTTGGATGATGTTCGAGCCACTATTCTACGGCGTGCGGGAGCCACAGCTGAACGTACTACTATGCCTATGTATCGACATCGAAAACAGCGTTATGTCAATGTTAATGATTGGATGTAGTACCATATAAATACACGATGAATGGATCACACACGTCCTTTTATTTGCAAGTCTCTTTTTGCAACTGTTGCTTTTATTGAACATTCTCAGCTTCCCACTGCATGATGAGAGCTCCACTTCTTCTTCTTCTCGTGGCTGCTTACGTGAACACTAAAACTTTCAATGTGGAAAACTCTAGTATAGTCGCAAGAATCAAAAGCCGCATGGAAAGGAAATAAGACCAACAAGGCGCAAAAGCTCTTGGAACGTATTAAAGAGGTATAAAACCTTCTTCAAAGTTTGTTGAAAAGTGTCTCACCAGCTGCTTTCACTACTCGCAGGATTTCAACATGTCCAAACTCGAGGAAAAGCTGAGCGAATGCGAGGAAACGTCAGAAAAGGAGCCCGATTTGAGTCCAGAACAGAAACTGTTTCTGGAAAGGCTGGCGGTGGTAAATCCTTCTGTTCATTCTTGAACATATACTAGATCCTGTCAAGGATATCAGGTATAGATAGGAATACTCTGGCCATTCCAGTCTCACAACGATAACGTGCGACGAAGGGAGAAATCAGTTGAGGATGTCAACAAGAAGTGTGGAATAATAGACGCATTGTACCAGGGAGACATGCTTCTTTCCAAGTTCGTTCCTCAAGCTTTCAAAGCAACAACCCAGATTAGGTCGTGTCGAGGAAGATAGAGTAACCCACGAGTATCACACATGTGCCATAGTCGCGACTCCAAAGTGCGCGACAATGGCGCTAGGGCCTTAATAAGGTCTGATGGCGAATAATGTGCACTTACGGACGAGATGCCTCGCACTCGCCCTCACGCAGCGTGAGTTAGGGGATAAGACAGCCGATAGGTAGAGAGATATGGTGGCGTCGTCACAGTGATGCGGTTGCATTCGAAAAACTCTTCTAGACACGTCCTTCTCGCATCATTATTATCAGTCGTCGTTACTCCACCGATAGGAATTAGGGTACTGCTTTAAAACAGTTCGTGCAAAATCAGTCATCCTATTAGGGAACAACGGGATGAAATTACTGCGGATGCTAGCGATAGTCGTTCCAAACGGCAAGCCTACAACGATACAAGCTATCCTGGTAGGAGATGGCCAAAAGGAGTTTATTACTCACTTGATGGAACCTTAAGTTAGTTCTCATGGTTTCTTGCTCACATATTAAATAAATTTTCTCCTCAAATTGTTTCAGATGAAACGGCAAAAAATGCCTTCAGGAAAGCGGCGGAATTGTGGATGAACGACACGTGTATTGACTTCATAGAAGACCATGACGAAGAAGGTAAAAAAAAGTGGAGAGTAAGCTTTGCATCTTATTCAGCTGATGACCCTTCTTCTGGTTCAGTGAATATGGATGTGGCAGAGTTGACATGCCAGAAGGTAGGCAACTACCCTCAACCCTCGGACGGCTTTTGGAACGGTAGTGTTTCAAATGGTGTGCCGAAGCCCATGTGTCTTCATTGTAGTGTGGCTGAAGCAAAGAGAAAACTTTTCGCAGTTTCTTCCTATTGCTAATGATACTACTCATACTTTTTTATTACTGCCACAGATTGGAATGGCAACTCACGAGATTGGTCCATGCCCTTGGATTCTGGCATACGCATTCGAGGCATGACCGTAACAAATTTATCACAGTTCTCAAAGACAACATCAAGGTAATGTTTGCGGACGCTATAGAGGAAACTTAATACGGTTGGATGGCTTCAGCCTGAGCAACGTAGACAGTTTGTTAGGAGACCGAGGAAAGTCAATAACAATTATAACATAACATATGACTACGGTAGCGTTATGCACTACGCAGCAAAAAGGTAAGAAACCTATGTAGATGTCTGTGAAACTTACGAAAATACAACAAAATATTATGTAAAATATATCATACATAGCTTTATTACCAACGCTTCCTTCCATGAGGGAAATTTCACGATATTACCGAAAGATCTCAACTACACGGAGACTCTAGGATCGAAATTCATTGCATTCTACGATCTGCTTATGATGAATACGTACTACAATTGCACTGGTAAGCGATTTATCCAGCGGCGTTTGAACCCATGAATCTCATAGAAGAAACCGTAACTCACTCACTCTCATAAACTACCAAGATTCATACAGTCGAACTTGGACATTCATTGAAGAGTGTTTCAGACAGATGCAAAGGTGAACCCAACGCAACGCAAAAGTGCAATCATGGGTTCCCTCATCCACGTGATTGCTCCAAGTGCATCTGTCCCAGCGGATATGGTGGAGAGTTCTGCAATGAAAGGGTGAGTTCCCTCTTGTGGCTTGATTCCGCAAACCTTTTAAAAATTATTTTAGCCACCAGGTTGCGGTGCAGAGCTCAATGCCACCGATGACTGGCAGTGGCTTAATGATTCACTGAAAGGTGCCGTAGTCGGGCGAGACGGTCTTCAGAAGTGTAACTATTGGATTAAGGTCAGTGATGCCCTGGAATGACTAAGTGTAATTACAAAGCTCGAATACTTTCTGATCCTGAAGGCGCCAAAAGATAGAAAGATAGAAATAAAATCGTGGAGGCTCCTGAATATTCCTACGAAGGATGCACATATGCTGGTGTTGAAATCAAGACACATTCTGATCAACGTCTCACCGGTTACAGGTACAACTTGGTTCACGGCAGTCAAATACAAATGGAAATAAAATTCACATAGATTCTTTATAGATTCTGTTCAAGTACTTTCGTCAACACGACACTCATTTCGGAGTCAAGCTTGGTCCCAGTGATAACATATGCGCGTGGAAGTGACGAAGACGAAGAGGAATCAGATGAAGAAGACGACGATGAAGACGGTGAGAACGGCAACGGAGACGGCAGCAGCGTTGACGGAGATGAAGGTAATGGTGAGGGCAACGATGTAGTCGAAGATAATGAACATTTCGCAGGCAGTGATGAGGACGAAGATTCTAGCAGAGATGAAGAAGATGATGACGAAGAGGAGGACGAAGAGGAGGACGAAGAGGAGGACGAAGAGGAGGACGAAGAGGAGGACGAAGAGGAGGACGAAGACTATGGCGAAGAATATTTCGGCATCACCACAAAGCTGTTGTATCGCTACGTTTAGAGAAAAACAATCCATCAATAAAGTTTCTGGCCATCCTAATTTCCTTTAAAAAACCAGCAGATTTCGCAGTGAGAGTCGTAGAACATTATAGAGCTCACTGTGTAAATATCTTGCTCTAAAAGGCGATCTTCACAAGTGGCAAAAAGCTCAAGCTCTTCTACTTCTTTTACCTTAGCTATATGTGAAAGACACCGAAGAAGATGTTTGGAACCTTCCCCGCCTTTTGCGTCTTACAGCACCCCACCATACAGGGGCCAAAAAATAGAGTCACTTCCGTCCACATTCAAAACGGAATTGATTTATTCTGCGAAACCAAACTTAGGGAGCACATTCTAATTTGTCAACATATTACATAAAAGCCCCCTACACTTACGTCAACAGTACTAATAAAAGCCTCCACACCGACGACATCAGAAGGAACATGGTTCACGGTACGAGCTCAACGAGATCGTCGAGGTACCATAGACCATTACGACCTCCCCGAAACGCTGGTTAAAAGCGGTCTTGCACAGTAACAGCTAGTGTCTCTAGAAGTTATTCACCATCTTAACCGATTGAAGAAATCATTGCAGCTTCAGGCCGGAGCGATTACGGTAAGCCCGTTGAGCTTGACGGTGACGACAGATGACGTCATATTCTGAAGACGGGGAGGGCAGGGAGGGAGCCGCTGCTGCTTATGAGACACCTATGGAATATTCTGCCGTAAAACATTAATCAACAACGGCACCCTGTACGGCGAAAAATTTGATGGGCGCACGCACGAAATGACTCTTTTTTTGCCCACCTCCGTGTATATCTGAGGGTGAAAGGTACTATTGCCATTGACTAATTAGGTGCCATAATTGATAACTCCTTCTCCAAATAAAAAATTCTTATCCCTAAGTTCCATTTGACATAGTCTTGCTCTCCTAGAACTGCTTGCCAACAAAACTTTTGTTCGTTTCTGTTGCTGGAAGCAGGGTCAACCGTCTGTTGGACCATGTTCAACAGGGAGGTGTAGTGCGGGACCTATTCGCAAGAGTGAACGTCGCAATGCGGGGAATGACGAAATGTAATACAAATGCGGATAAAACTCAAGGTTCAGACTCACAGCATCAAACGATCAGAATCAAGCTTCAATTCACACCAAGAGAGGGCATAAACTTCTGTGTTCATCAGACAATGCCCACAAACGAGTGCATATCCCAGAGCGAGAGGCCTACTTCGGACCTATCCATATTTCACCTGTTGATACACAAATTAATTCTCTCACATCAAAACTCTGTCTCAAACTGGTTCCTAACCAGAACAAAGAGTGACCCTTAGTAAGACATCCAGGGCTTACAACAAAAATATTGGAAAAAAGATTTGTTTGCGTCGCTCCTGAGAGGTTCCGGTGTACGGTATAAATCGAAAAGCTTGTGCTTGTCATGGTGATCACTATTTCCCATAACACTGACAAGGGAGGTCTTTCAGGGCAAGCCGCGCTTTTTGGAAATGGTTTCTTGCATATTGTAGGGACGCATGTATGGACCACAAAACCGTGTTTCGTTTTCGCTGAACGGTTTTAGTAGTATCAAAAAAGTGGTGAATGATACCCTCGATGGTTCGTCCCCCGCGGCGACTAAATTTTGCAATTAAGGTTGGCGGCCACTTGGTGGCAAAATGGTCCTGACGATGAAGTGTGACACCTGATTGTGACATTTAGCGCGATTTGGCACCAATTCGAAGGCGCCAACCCAAATGCAAAATTTAGTCGCCACGGGGGATCGAACCATTAACAGTACCTTATGCTTCTTTTTTGGTACTGCTAAACCGTTCAGCGAAAATGAAACATGGTTTTGTGTTCCCTACATGCATCCCTACAATATGCAAGAAAACCGTTCCAAAGGGTGGTTTGCCCTGGAAGACTTGTGAGACTGAAGAGAGCTGCTGAGGTTTGAAATGTTGAAAACCGGTCGTTGAAAAACAGTGAACAGGACGATTCTTGAAGCTCGGTCCAGTTTCGCGAGATTCAAAGTTACAGAATCCAAACCATCTATTTTTCTTTCAAGCGAGATGAAGTACCTTGCAAAAAGTTGACTCTGAAAAAAAGTGTGAGCAGACAAATCGACGTTTGAAAAAAAATCGGGTCGCAAATCCCCCAAAAAGCTCAAACGGGACAATGTTTGACTCCTTCAATTTTGAAGTGACTTAAAGTATACATTTGAAAGCTCTAACCTTCTAGTGTTTCTCGGGTGGTGAAAAATTGCAAAAACCTGAATCCGAAAAAAGATTATAGTCATTGAAATTTCAAAAACCTGCTTGTGAAAAACAGTCCAACACCGATATCTTGAAAAATGAAAATTAACAGAACTTTGAGTACTTTCTGGAGAGAAACCAACATGATGTTGGTGCTGAGTGGGGGGACCAGCCAGACGGCGACGCGGCGCTCTGTTCGTCTGCTCCTCCACTTACACCGCTCCGCCGCGCCGCCGCGTAGTCCTGCCCTCCCCCAACCCACTTAGCACTTATAATGTTTTTAATTATATACAACTTCCGATTATACAATTCCAAGTCACTTAGTCATTTTCGAAACAATATCGCATATGATGAATTACACTCATTTGAATAGTGGCCGTGTTGTATCCATGCTAGCGGAGGCTATAGTTGAGCGCCCAATGAAAACTCAAGTACTGCGCTCAATTGGAGGAGCCTTTGCGTATTCATCTCAAAATCGCGTGCGCCAAAAAGCTTGCGGCTCAGGTCCGTATTCGTTGTACTTTTGGATTTTCTAACGACCCCCTCCCCTTCATGGGCCGATTTGTACGAGGGACGGGGTGCCCCCCCTGTGTGTACCTCAGAGTCGTGATATAGATACAAACAATAGTAATAATCATATGAATTAAAACTTTTTTAGACAAGAATGCTGAATTTCGGTTCAAATTTCATAAAAGACGAGTTACCATTCCGAAAAACAGCGTAGGCATGGAATTAGGACATAAAGTCATTTATGATACGGACCTCATGGCTGAGGGCTAAAGGTTTGACAGGTTTTTGACAGGTTACGTTTCTGTGGTGGATCGCGCCCTCGGTGACCGCAGTGGGGCCCGTCGCGACGCCGGGTGCAGCAAGCCGGGGCAAGATGACGTACAAAGCGGCTTTGCACCCGGCCGTGATTTTAGATGACGTGCGGAGGGACACGCGCCCAGCTTTGCCTGCCACGTGACCTGCGGTCCTCATCCTCCGCTGCCCCATGATGTTGCCTTCCTTGCTGGAGACCACTGCGCTTGAAGGACCATGACAACTGCGCTATAACCTGACTCCACTTTCCCATGTGTTATCTGACACCTGCGCTTTATAACACCTATACATGATGTTAATACTGTGTTGGTATTGTTGACCAAACTACTGCGATCAATAAATATCATCGATCTCTCTTGGAGATGACACATGTAAAGGAAAGTGAAAAAGATA